GCTGAAGCCCAAGAATCATACTTGAACCCAGGAGGTGGAGGTTGCAGTGAGCTGAGATCGCGCTATTGTCCTCCTGCCTGGGTGACAAGAGCAAAATTTCATCTTAAAAAAAAAAAAAAAAAAGCCATTGAACTGGATAAGATCACTTAGGGTATGAATGCAAGTAGAGAAGAGGAGAGATATAAACCTGAGCTCTGGGACACTCCAACATCTAAAGTTGAGGAAGATGTGGAAGATCCAACAGAAGAGACTGAGAAGATTGCTAATGACATAGAAAAATTGCCGTAAAAGATGTTTTTTTTTTTTTTTCTGGAAGCCAGGTAAAGAAAGCGTTTCCATAAAAAATGATCAACAATGCTAAATATTATTGACATATTAAGGGAAGAATTGCAAATTGAGCATTGGAGTTGCAACATGAAATTCATTGGTGACCATGACTAATGCAGATTAGGAGGAACGTCTGAATCAATATTTGGAGTGAGTTTGAAAGACAGTGAATGGAAAGGAAATAAAGGCAACATTTTGAACAAGTTTCACAGAGCAATATAGGAGAAGATGTAGGGTTAAAAAATAAGTATGTTTTTATCTGGAAGATATTGCAGAAGTTACTGTGTCTATGGAAGTGATCCAGTATGGAGGGTAAAATTGATGACATAAACAAGGATGAGCAACAGTTATAGAAATAAAATCTTTGAGAAGGTGAGTACAGATGGGTTCTTAGCACAAGGGGAGAGTTTGACCTTAGAGTGGTGTACAAACCATTAATCCATTGTAACAAAAAAAAGGATAGACAACAATAATAACTAACATCTATCTTGCATTTGCTATGTGTTCTAAGTACATTACTTTTGTTAACTCCTTGAATACTACAAAACAACACCATGAAGAACATCTCATTCTTATCCCCATATCAAATCAAAGAAACTGAGACACAGTGATTTCAAATCATTTGCCTAAAATCACACATCTTGTACATGGCAAAGCCAGGGTTTGCCCAAAGGCTGTTTAACTCAAGTTCGGTTGCCTATACTGTCCTTTGAGAAGCAAGCAGATTTGTAGATTTTTATGATAAGTACCAGTAGAAACTCTCTTCTGGTTCCGCTTGTTTTCTTGGTGAAATAATGAGCATGATCAGGTGAGTGTAAGGAAGAGAAAAAGACAGTGTTGGAGTTAAGGGCAGGAGAGAAGTGAATGAATTATTTAGGAGAATAAGAGGGAGTTTTGGCTAAGGATATGCAAAGGGATTTTCAGAGAGCACTAAGGATCTAGCTGATGTTTATGACTATGATTTTAAAGACTAGTCAGCATGATGAGTGTTTTTCTCCAGCTACAGTCAACAGCTATGGTACATGCACTAAAATATTGAAGAGTTGGATTGAGCCATGTATTTTGTTTGCCAGGCTAGATAGTGAGTGGAGAGATGGGGCAGAGGCAGTGAGTATAGATGTCATGACTGATCACAGTGTTTAAGTCATGAGAAATGGCAAATGACAGGCTTAATGAAGAGAACAGGAAGATATTTATGGGTATGCCAAAAAATAAAAGTTCCAGTCAATGGAAAAGAGCTTCTATTAGGCTTTGAGCCATTTGACTGATATGTAAGACCAAATTTGAAAAATAAACTTTAAAACATTTTTAGATATTTTCATCACTTCGCCTCTTTTTTTCTGATTCATTTTTCAGCGAAAGCATACCTTGAACACTTTAATATAAAAGTCTGTATTGCACAACGAAATACTGCCTTATGAGCTAAAAAAGATAGTTCTCATCCGCTGATAAGTTGGAGATGTTTCTGTAGTAGACACAATGCTTGAACAAGAAAGTCACTTTCAAAAATTCCTTATGAAGGCCAAACTAGTTGGTTAATTGGAGGCTTCACGAGGAAGAGGGAATGACCTTGTCAACTTTGTGCTATCATGTATGGCATTAAGTTTTTTTCAATCTTTAAAAAAATGTGCCATTTTAATTAACAGTACATTCACAAAAAGATCTTGTTTTATGCTTCACAGTTCACAAGACTATGTCCATATCTTATATCACAAGCACTTTCATATTTCAAACACGTAATTTTTTGTGTTTCTCAAGAATACATGGACGTTTATTAATAGTTGTAGTCCTGCTAGCCGGTGATGGTTACACCCTTTGTCAAATTCTTGCTTAATGGACTCCTTCAAAAGGGACTTCAGCTTCCACTAGTTGAAAAAAGAAAGAGAGAAAAAAATTAGACTAAGTTTTTTGTTTTATGTTGTTTTGTCCTTCTTAGTTGGGGGATGGGGGTTATAAAATGTCTCCTTAATCACTCATTTCTGGTTTCTTTTCCGTACCACTTATGAGTAGTAAAAGCACTTTAAGAAAATATTTTACTTTTTAATAAAATGGTGACAGTTTTGTAATTCAAATAATGATACTTTTGTCAGTTTAACATTTTAATTTTCACGCGTTGTGATTAGTGTTGTTGGTTTCATTTCTCAAGGCAGACCTCTAATTCTTTGCTTGTGTGAACTTTTCAACATGCAATTAACATCAGAAGGCCAGGATGGTGCAGTCTATTATTATCAAAAAGAAAGAAAAAACATGACTTTTAGCTGACCCATCACACATAGAGTCCATATGAATGTGAAGATTCTAAGTTCTTAAGACTGAAGTAAATGCTGAAGGGCTATTGCACCCCATAAAGAATCCACCTTTGTCTGGATAATAACTGCTTTACCTTATATAACTTGCCCCACCTGCTCCTTACCTCCACACCACTCCTGGAGATTGGCCACTCATGCTATCATATCCCTCCTTGTTCAACCAGGGAACCTCATTCTTGAGAAATCTTCACTCTTCATTGCTTTCTCATGGACCCCTTAGTCTCACAAATGCTCTCTCTCTCTACCAGTCTTTCACCCTCCTCCAAATTCCCTTCAACCCTTTCCTTCCAGTAACTTCCCTCTTTCTTCCATATTGGGGTTATTACTGATTCAGTTCCATTTGTTTCCCCCTGGAAGCAAGAGACAGACTGTGATTCAACTCACAAGGCTGGGGATAAATTAAACGTTTGCAAACATCTGACTTCTGAATTAACTATCTATAAGAAAAGGAAAGCATTGCACAGTCTGTAATACCTTTGACCTCTCTTCACTACCACTCTAGCCCATTCTCTTCATGAAAGTTAATTAATCTTTTCAAAGTGTATATTAGATCATCTCACTCCCTCTTCTTGGAAAACTCCTTGGCCTCCAATTGCAGTTAGAATGAAAATCCAAGGTCTTTACCATGGCTTGCTAAGAGGTACTTGATTTGGCCCCCAGCTACCTCTTCCCATCTTTTCTCCTACCATCACTCATTTATCCACTAGGCTTCCGTCACATTGGCCTTCTTTCTGACCCAAATATCCACCTCACTTTTCTCTCTCTCTGGATCTTATATTTGTTCCCTTTGGATACCTTTTCTTTCAAATGTTTTCTCTGTTTTGGCTTTTCATCCTTTAGGTACAGCTCAAATGTCTACCCACTCAGAGATGTTATTCAGACTTCCCAATCTAAAGAATGGTGTTTCTGCTCCATCATTGTCCATCACAATTTTGTTTTCTTTGCAACATTTATCACAATCCAAAATTATGTATGTGTCTACTATTTTTATTCACCAAATGTGATATCCTTGAAGGAAGACATTGTATCTATACCTGACAGTTCCTGAAACACACTAGGGACTCAGTAAATATGTGTGGCTGGTCTGAAGCAGAAGTGAGGAGAGAAAGACACCATCTTATCACAGCTGGCTATGGATTTGCTTAATGTCAATATGCATGTCATTTGAGCCATAATTTAAAGAATAGAAGAGTAACTCCACAAACAGCTGAAGAAAGAAGTTATTTATTTATTTTTTTAGTTTATTTTAATGCCTGTTAAATTTTTGGTTACTTTTACATTTAGAAAATTACAAAAGGTAAAGTATTTGTGGAGATTGCAAAGTTAGCCCTCTGTATGATTACATTTTTACTATAAGGAGATGCCACACAGTTCTCTGCCACTGATCACCTCATGCTATTTTTGCTGCAAGAGAAAGTAAACAAACGACAAAAGATGAATATGAAGAAAATGCTATATAAATAATTGCAACTTAACAATCATCCTTCTCATTCCTGACAAATTTTGTATCTAAACTCAATGAGGACAAATTTGTGTAAGGATAAATTTATCAACTTATCAGAGATGATGGAGAGTGACTTAAAGCAAATCATTTCTCTTCTCCGGTCTTCAGTTTCTTGATCTGTAAATTGAAAGACTCAGTCTAGCTGGACCTCTGATACTCCTTTTTCACTGCAAGATTGCATGATATTATAAGGTACATGAATTATTTCACATATAAGTAAAACATGGATGTACACTGTTTGGCCCACATATTCCAGTTTTTTTTTTTCACATATTCCAGTTTAACAAAATGAAATTATAATTGACATAATGAAAAGTAACACATCTTATAAATCTCCTATATATGTTCTCATACTAAAAAAATTTATTTTTTATTTTCTTTTGATTCTGGAAAACAAATTAAGGTTAATTCTGAATATAATGGTAAAATGAATCAGAACTCAGCTGTTAAGAAAAATTATATATTAGCCTTCTTTCTTTTCTTCCCTTGTTTTTGGTTTGTTTGTTGGTTGGTTTCTCTTTGGAAACAGGATCTCACTGTGTTGCTTACACTGGAGTGCAGTGGTGGTGTAGTCACAGATCACTGCAGTCTCGATCTGCTGGGCTCAAGCAATCCCCCTACCCAGTCTCTTGAATAGCTGGGACTACAGGTGCATGCTATCATGCCTAGTTAATTATTGTATTTTTTTTGAACACAGATTTACCCATGTTTCCCAAGCTGGCCTCAAACACCTGGGCTCAAGCAATCCACCCACCTTGGCTCCCAAAGTGCTAGGATTACAGGCATGAGCCACTGCGATCAGCCTTTTCCTATCTTTTACATTAATTTAAAAGATTAATAAATGCATAGACAGTATCATGGATATAACTAAATATTAATAAAGACATTTACATTTTTTAATATAAAATGATTGATTTACCAACAATCAAAATAAAAAGTTCCCAAAGCCACAGATAAGGATAGCCTGCAGTTGTCTTTCTGTTCCTTTGTATAATTACTTTTCTTTCAGAGTCCAGTCTTGGATGTGATCCAATCGTGATAAGAAGTCACTCGAGTATAGACACCTGGCTTATTCTTTTTACCACATCCATCACCCCAGCTTACTATTCCAACAAGATGCCAGATATTTCTGGAATCAGGATAAGTTAGTGGTCCACCAGAATCATTCTAGAAGAAGAAAAGAAAAAATGTTTCTTAACAAAAAATTTCCTTTTACCTTTCCTGTGGCATTACCAATACCTCCTGGCCACTGAAACCAATTCACTCTCTTTGAGCTGAGAACTCTGAAACCCTTAGGATTTTTTTTCAAAAAACACAGGACAGCTACAAACCAGAACATATGCCTGAAACTGCCAAATGTCGACTTGAGCAAACTAGAGTTTGACTTATATTATGAGTGCAGCCTGAATATGGAGATGACTTAGCTGCTTGCACTGAGCTGAAGTCTCTATGATGAAGCCTCTGAGGAATGAGTGGCATACGCACATGCCCAGACTCCTGTTGCAGCTCTGGATACAGAGAAGACCACATTCTAGGTCTGCTGGTTGCCCAGAAAATAGGACAAAATTCATCTTGTAAACTTCTTCTAAGTATTATTATTTTTATGAATTCCCAGATTGAAAACTTCATTAGGGCAGGATTGTGTTCACCTCTGCATCCCTAGCATGTAGGCTGGTGTCTGGTACATAAATGAGATTAATACATTTTTAGTGTATTGAAATACAAAGCTACTATGTCAATACCATCAACACAAACAATATTTTATGTGGATTAAAACTTCCATTTGAGTAACTGTTTGGGAGAAAACAATTGGATAATGTAACTAGACATACCTGACATGCATCAGCTTCTCCTGACATAAATCCAGCACACAGCATTGTATCAGTCACAGAGCCAGACAATGCATATGGGGCATTGCAAATGTTGTTGTCAATAATCTTCAAAAAGGCTTCTTGAAGTGTCACTGGAAATGCACCTAAAGACAGTAAGTGCTACATATTATGGAGATCTTAGACTTTGCTGGGACGAAGAATGTCTGCAGCATAATTCAGACTCTTGGTCACCATGAGTCAAGCTGGTTCCAGGTTAGATTAGTCATTTTCAGGTGTTTGTAATAGTTGGCTGCCTAACACATAATTTCAATTTTCCCAATTCCCATTCCCAGAGATATTTTAGGAAGTGAAGACAATTTGATGTCGTACTTTTTGTCCCACCACTTGTTTTTCTTTTCAAAATATTTATTAATTAATTGCATGAGGGGACAATTGATTGATTGATTAAATAATTATTCCCATGCAGCTATTACGATTTTATATATTAAAAATAAAGTTACCATGCATATGAAGTGTTCCCCACCCTGTAACTACAACATTGTCATTTTGTGAGAGCTTCATTTTGGCTTCAGGAAGACAAATCCTACGAATGTACTTCGTAAAAGAAACTTCTTCAGCAAGCTGTACAAGGGCAATATCATCATGAAGCCCAGGACTGCTATAATTTTCATGAAAAATAATGTTTTGTACTTTCCGTGTCATATATGGTTTATTTACTACAGTTCCAAAGTTGACAGTCCAATATTTTGAATTGTTTCTCCTAGAAAACACAATGTAATTAGAATACACTCAGTTTCTGGGTCACAACAGTGTTAGCGGTGATTATCTCACAATCTTAAGGCACGAGGTCCCAAACAACCCTGTAAGCCATTGAAATTCTTATTTTATAAAATATCTTTGACATGGAGCTGTTGTAAATGTTGCAGTCACATAAAAATAATGCTAAGGATTCAGGTTTGTCAGCTTTTTGAAAATCCTTTCAAGTAGAGTCACTGATGTTTTCCCCTGCTTATTCAGTTCCACCTAGTTTCTCAACATTTAATTTGGTCAGAAATCATATGAGCATCCTCAATCCCGTAAGTGGATGGGGTCCAGAATTAGTCTATTACCACATACCCTTGGTGTCAATAGCTCCTTTTTGACCCTTACCCCTCTACCACCCTCTAGTAGACCCGAATGTCTATTGTTCCCCTCCTTGTATCCATATGTACTCAATGTTTAGCTCCAGCTTACAAGTGACACCATGAAGTATTTAGTTTTCTGTTGCAGCATTAATTCATTTAGTTAGGATAATAGCCTGCAGCTGCATACATGTTCCTGCAAAGGCCATGATTTTATTCTTTTTTATGGCTGTATAGTATTCCATGGTGTATGTGAGTCATATTTTCTTTATCCAGTTCACCGTTGCTGGGCATCTAGGTTGATTTCATGTTTTTGCTATTGTGAATAGAGCTGTGTTGTACATATAAATGCATGTGTCTTTTTGGTAGAACAATTTACCTTCCTTTGAATATACTCAACTTTTGGGTCCAGATTAAATTTTACATCAGATGGATGTCCTGGCTTTCTTCTTCAAATTTCCGTAGCACTTACTATCTTTTTAATACACGTCATGTTTATGACACTATGCAGCCTCAAACTTTTAATGTATGACGTTAAATTAAAAAAAATAGATTATAAACCTCTGGGTGACAAGACAAGGAAAAACCTAGTAACTGGAGTCAGACATACTTGAGTTTACATTCGATTTCTGTTATTTAAGAGCTGGGTGATCTTAGTCAAGTTTTGTCACCTTTCTTAAGTGAGCCTTGGTTTCCTTCTCTTCAAATAGGTTAAATTATACCTTCCATGCAGAATTGAATGCTGTGATTACATGAAATGATGTAAGTAAAGCACCTAATGTCAGGCCAAGGTAGCTATTTGAAAAATGTTCATTAATACTTCCATTGGCTTTTCTCTCCTTTTGCTAATTTAAATGCTTTTTCTGCCCTTTAATTACACAGGTTATTGTAATTGTTCTATGTGATTGTAAGTTTCATATGGCTTTGGTGAAGCTTCACACATTAAGTTAACCCCTACAAACTATCCAAAATAGTTTTGCACCCAGCATCCTTCATTAAGTCAAATTTTCAGACTTACTTAGCAAAGCAGTGAGCTGCAGATAACAGCCACCTGCTGCTGATCAGAGAGGCTCCACAGTAGTGACGGCCTTTCCATTGCATGCTGGCCTGCCATGGCCACGCCCCTGCCTGGGCACTTTTTCCATTCACAATTTTGTTGCCAGTTATGATACTGTTGGCTAGTTGCCTCCCACAACCTAGAGAAAAGATTTATTTACACAAGAGCAGGTATCTTTGATTATGCATTTTTAAAAATATATCATTAAAAATTACTTGAAACTTTTCAGTGATTATTCAACATCTCCTAATTGATGATGTTTCTTTTCTACAAGATAATCCTGTAATGGTTCTCTATTCTATCTTGGTTTGAGTGGTTCTTACTTATCCTCTTTTCCAGTCTCAAGCATCTTTCATCCACTGTCTTTTGTAGTGTCTATGTGTTAGAACTCTTGTCTCTCTAAGCAGATTCTTGAAGGTAGAAACTTTGATGTCTACATTTTGCATAGTATATGCACTGTTCATGATCGATACTCCATAAATAACCATGGAGTGAATGAATGCATGGATGTATCTTGTGAACAACATGATACTCTAAAGATAATTTATTTAAAAGATGTAACTCGACAGTGATGTGCTCCTATAGGCCTACAGCTACTTAGGAGGCTGAGGCAGGAGGATTGCTTGAGCCCAAGAGTTCCAGGCTGTAGTCCATTACAGTTGCACCTGTGAATTACACTTTAGCCTACACAACATAGCAACATCCCACTTCTAAAGCAAAAAATAATAATAAATTTTAAGATGTTTTTATCTTAAATCTATTTGATAGAGCCTGGTTTTATCTTTTCTTCTTATCCTAAGTTGTCATTTCCTTCAATATTTCTCATTTTAACATACTTAAATATGATATTTTTCACTCACAATTTTCTTATTTGGAATTGATTTTCATTTAACTTTTTGTATAATTTTTAATAAATGTCAAAATTAATAGACCAATGTTTTTCAAAAAGAAATTCCAAGTCAATACCTGGTATGTCCAGTAATTTTGAAAGTATACTATGGATTTTCACATGATATATTTTAAATATATTTTATAGAAAAATGATGAGAAAATACCTGTGAATCCATCAAATTTATAATAAAAGGATCCTTAACTTACAGTTGTTGGTAAGCATTTCAGAAGCAGCTTTGCTGATTTCTGAAAGTGAAAAACAAAACAAAATATAAAGTTGATCAAATATCACCAAGCAATTGACTTCAACCTAAAAACATAAATGCTAGCTTTCCTAACCCAATAGTTGCCCAACATTTAACTATTTAGAGTAGCTCAGGTATTTTCAGCCCCTCTGACTCTTATTTGTTATATTATAACCATCTCTCCATATCTCTACTAGGTAGTCTAGAAAAAGAGAAATGGGAATAAAAAACAAAACTTTCAGTTTTACAATTATTGAAGTAAATTATTTAGTGCTGTTAAGAAGCTGGCAGTCTTACAAATATTTTTTAAGAGATCATGATAGGGATTTCTTTCCCGTGATAATTCTCTTTACTCTGAAATGCTGACAATTATATATATTTTAAGGAAAATGCCCCAATCAAAATTACACTTCATTGGGCCCATCCTGCTCTTTAGGGTAATCTCCTTACTAAGAATGAATCATGAAATTTTGAGAACTTAAATATAAATGTTTTTCCTATTGGTAAAAGTCTTTAGAGAGAAGAGAAGAGGAGGGAACTAAAGAAACACTAGAAAATGTTGACTATACACTATGGGACACAGAGAGACAGTAACCAATATATCCCTCTTTCCCAAAAGCTACCTACAGAAAAATGTTATTGCTATCTTGAAAAATGTTATTGCTACCTCAGGTTCACTTCTTATTAGTTGTCCACTGGTAATAGGGTCTTTATTGTGTGGCAAAGGAGCAGTAACTGGCAAATGTTGACCTTTCAAGCCCTCAAGTACACTAGGATTAAATTGTCTGGCTAGAAGAACCATGAAGCAGGACTCTGAAACTACATGCTCATCACCTAGCTGGCCTTTTCAAGGCCTTTGCAGGACCTTCACAATCTTTATAAACTTCACTTTCTGTAAGGAGGCAAATCTTCTCATTTTTTGCTGTGTTTTCTGGAGAATTATTCCAGGCAATATTTTTCTTTAAAAGTGTATTACTTCAGTTTTTTCACAAGAATTGGTAAGAACTCCCATCCCCAACATTGTTCCTGCTCCTGCAATCTCCTTAGGGAAAGACCAAGAAAGTCCTAAATCTGCTTCTTGTCATAAGATTCTGGCGAAAGCAGGGAATAGAAAGGAAAGATACTTCAATTAGAACTTTTCATGCCCTTTCCCATGCATAATAGGCAAACGCTTCCAAATTTACATCCATGCTTGCAAAGGAACCCTCATTCCTATCATTCTTCAGACAATGATTCCATAGCACTGCCCCTTCCACTACTAAGTCATTTGTAGGCGTGACGGAGTAAGGTACGCATATTTTTCCCCCAAATTACTAAAACTCTTAGTTCACTTTTTAGTACTTAAAAAGAAAAAAATCCAGAAAAAAATCTACATAATAGAAAATAACAGAAATAAGTCAAATACCCATGAGTTCAATGGAAGCAGGAACTGCGTTCCAGGATGCCATGTTGTCCTTCAACATCTGGTGTAATATAGCCTTGATTTTAGTCCTCATGCTAACTCTCTTTGCTGGAAGAAACTTGAATTTCAGCTGTAACTGTACATTTGAACCGTTATCATTAGGCCTAGAAACAACAGAAATTTTCTAATGTACTATTTCTTATCTTTTAGATGTTTTGTGAACACATGAAATTTCACACATTTTAGTATCACATTTCCTTTAGATAATATTAAAGAAAAAATACAGATACTATCAGATGTACTATTCGAGGAAGAAAATAAGTACAACAAACTAAAATCAGAATATTTCAAACACATATGGGAAACGGAATACTGGTCAAGAAATGATTAGCATGAAATCTTACTATAATACAATAAAAACCAGTGCTCTCATTCAGAATTTTTAAAAATTTTTTTTTGCGATGGAGTCTCACTGTCACCAGGCTGGAGTGCAATGCCATGATCTCTGCTCGCTGCAACCTCCGCCTTGAGTTAGATTCTCCTGCCTCAGTCTCCCAAGTAGCTGGGATTACAGGCACCTGCCACCACTCCCAGCTAATTTTATTTGTATTTTTAATAGAGACAGGGTTTCACCATGTTGATCAGGTTGATTTCGATCTCCTGACCTTGAGATCTGCCTGCCTCGGCCTCCCAAAGTGCTGGGATTATAGGCTTGAGCCACCGCACCCAGCCCAGAATTTTTCTAATAGCTTCATCTTAGAGAAAGAGAAATTAGACAGTAAAAGTAGGGCAGGGAAGCATTCAAAAGACAGTTTCCAGACAATTTCCAGTATTTAGAAGCCAGTGCTAACCTTTTTCCTATGGTTTTCTATACTTAACTAGTCTGCCCCAACAGATCTATACAATGAGGAAGCTCAGAAAGGTAATTCTAAATGAAGAATATCTTGATTATATATTCAGTACATTCTCTTTATTAATCAGGAAAAGAGGTTAATTCATTTTAGGAGACTTTCAAACCAAAGCCATATCAATCAGAATGTTTTAAGTTATCCATAATTTCACTTTCAAATAATTATGATAAATTCCAGGGTCTCTGAATGTTTTTGTCTGTCTGTAGGTAAGTAGATTGGTTAGGTCAGCTGGATTTTTTGTTTATTTTGTTTTGAGAGTTCAGAATTCCCCAGAATAGATATTAACAATTAGCAAATTAAAGTGGGCTCTACCCTCATTACTCTTTCCCCATACACCATACCCTTCTCCCTGCATCCTGCCCCAACACCACTATCTTCAGGTACCCTTCAAAGGTCTATCTAGATAAATGCTATCTTAAAATACTGTCTTTCTTCCACAGCCATTGCAAGAATGATAATTATTAAGGAAACTAAAAGAGGATGTTTTTAGGGAAGGTATGACCTAAAAACAAACCAGTTGAATTATTTGTTTTCCATGAAGTTATAATTATCTTTCATCACAGCAGTCAGTTAGGACTGACCACCACCAATAACATTATAATTCTCTGCAAGTATAAGGATTATAGATTTGTATGTAACAACTCTTGCCTGGAACAGAAATTTGCTAGATATGGTGATATTTTCATTAATAGAAAACTTACTTTCTTCTTCTTTCTTTCTTTCTCTTTTGTTTCTTTTTCTTTTTCTTTCTTTTTCTTTCTCTTTCTCTCTCTTTCTTTCTTTCCTTTATTCTTTCCTTTCCTTTCTTTCTCTTTTCCTTTTTTTTTGTTATTGTTATCTAAAGTCAAGGTTGTATGATCTATCACCTACTTTTCTTTCATAAGATCTTGAACAAACTTGTACTTACAGAAGTTTAATGACCTCAGATTTGACATATTCCTCATATATGCTGGAATTTTGAAATGCATTTAACATCTGACAAAAAGAAAAAAAGAGTCACCATGTATGTTTCAATCAAATTTATGATAAAATTAATAAAATAAATCTCTGATTTACCTTAGTCTCAATATCTTTGCTTAGATTTGTGCTGGCTTGTGAACCTGCATTTTCACAATTATTGTATGTGACTCCAGAAATTTGAAAATCACCTCGATAGTAGTAAATCTTGTCTGTGAAATTAAAAAAAGAAACTCAAAGAATTTTAAAGTGGGAAGTGGCTTTTTTTTCAAGCATATATATATATAAAATTTTACTTTAAGTTCTGGGGTATATGTGCAGATCTTGCAGGATTGTTACATAGGTATACACATGCCGTGGTGGTTTGTTGGGGTATGGGGGGCTAGGGAAGGGATAGTAGGGGCTGTGGAGATTGGAAAGGAATAACCTTAGGAGAAATACCTGGTGTAGGTGATGATGGGATAGAGGGAAGTGGCTTTAAAACCATTTATACCTCTGTTTCAACATTCAACCCAGCTTTAGAAATAATCCAAGGGAGAGAGAAAAGAAGAGGAGGAGAACGAACAATCATTTATTCTAGAAATGGCAACTTCACATCATTCATTCAATGACCCTCCCTTTCCCTTTTATGTTACAACAGAGATTTACTGTCCTGCTAAGTCCAGATATACTCTCAGTACCCTCCTCAAAACAGCAATGCCTGCAACCACTAACAATCCACCTGAGCATGCACTAAAGATGAAACACTTTTATATGTATAGTCTAAAATCAGCCTAGCAATTATTCAATCTTCCTAAGCATGTCTGATACAGGAAACATATAAGCATCAGTCACCTTTCACTTTCTGGATGATAGACACTGTCTTGTACCCTTTTGCATGCCCTTTGCCTGTCGGCCTGGTTTCCATTCCTTGAGGTTATTCCTGAAGGACTCCATGGTGACCTTTTATTTCCCTACAGTATAAGATGGGTGGTGCTTGGTGTGAGTCACAAGGTCTCACATCCCTGTCTTTTCCTTTCCCAAAATATAAACTGCTTCACCTGATACATTAGGTCACCATAATTGAAAACACATCAAGCCTTTTAAAAATAGGAACTACCCAAATGTGATGGAGCATGCCTATAGTCCCAGCACGTTTTGAAGTTGAGGTAGGAGGATTGCTTGAGTCCGGGAGTACAAGATCAGCCTGGGCAACATATTGAGACCCTGTCTCTACAAAAAATATTAAAAATTTGCTGGGCATGGTGGCATGTGCTGGTAGTCCCAGCTATGGAGGAAGCTGAAGTGGGAGAATTGCTTGAGCCCAGGAGTTCAAGGCTATACTGAGCTGTGATTGCACCACTGCACTGCAGCCTAGGTGACACAGTGAAGCACCCATCTTAAAAAAAAAAAAAAAAAAAAAAGGAACTAATATGAAACCATATCCTATTTTGGTTAAGTACTCCAAGACCCTCTTTTTTCTACTATTTTATCATTTTCATCTGTGAAATGTGTCACCAAATGAACTAAAGTAAATACTTAGAATCAGAATCTGCTATCTTTGTGTTACATTCACAATACTGAACCAGGATATTTACAGGTAGGTAGATTAACTTGTCAAAAGTCTCAAAAGTCATGCCCAGATTCAGAGAAACCATGATGTTTAAATTTCTGATTCCAGTTATAATTTTACTGAAGAATTTTATCAGTTCAAGGTGCCATTTTAAAATTAATTTTTACTTGGTTATTGTTATGGATGGAATGTGTCCCTTTCAAAATTCACATGTTGAATCCCTAAACACCAATGTGACTATGTTTGGAGACATGATCTTAAATGGAGGAATTATGGTTAAATGAGGTCATAAGGGTGAGACAAGAATCCAATAGGACTAGTGTCTTTGCAAGAAGAGAAAGAGACACCAGATCTCTCTCTAACACACACTCACTTCACTCCATCTCCCAAAATACACACAGAGGAAAGGCCACGGAAAGGCACAGTGAGAATTCAGCTATTTGCAAGCCAGGAAAAGAGGTCTCTCCAGAAACCAACCAGCACATTGGTCTTAAACACCCAGTCTCTAAGACTGTGAAAAAAATATGTCTATTGTTTAACCTAGCCAGTTGGTGGATTTTGTTAGGGTAGCTTGAGCTAATATAATTATTTAGATAAACTGAATAGGAATCTATTGTATATTCTATACTGTGGTCAGTGATTTTCAGTTTTGCAGACATAGGTACAGTAATCTTTATATAGTAAACTGCCCTCCATTTCAAAGTTTATTAAGTCTTTTCTCTTCAGATGGACATATTTTATTACTTCGCTAAAACACTGCTTTATACTAATAGATTGTAACACTACCTATACATCATCATCTTCCAAAAGGCACACATGGGAAGGTCCTGCCCCAGTCCAACTGAATCAGCTAACCTAAGGGTAGGGCCTAGGGAATGAATACTACTTCAAAAGAGCTCGACAGGTGATTCTGAGAAGAAGCTAGGGTTTGGAACTATTAGATAAACTATATGAAGGATTATGAAATTGTTTATACATATGCATGTAAGCTTTCGGAAATAGCATTGTTAGGTAAAACCGTTGAGAAAGAGATGAACCAAAGTCATTTCTAGAATAATGATCTTCGTGAAATACTTATCTCTGAATTAACCTAAAAAGTGGAAACTCAAAAGTTTAAAAAAGTTGATCGAGAAATAATAGACGTATTTAGACAGGGAAACTAATTTCATACCACTGAAATGAGGGATTATAATACCTGTCATCCAGATAATTTCATACCACTCAAATGAGAGATTATAAAGCTGTTATACAGCTTAAGTTGTTCTCAGTATTAATAAATATCATATTTGTTCCTAAGCCAGAGTCCTAGAGCAAACCCATCTTTCAAACTGACTTCAAACAACCTTTACCATAGAGCTTGTATCCATTTTTATTCCACAAGTAGTACAGTTCAAGTAATTTAAGTAATTTAAGCTGCTCTAGCCTTATATCTGAAATAGTGTGTGGTTGACCATGTAGAGACATTCAAGGGTGAATTCTTGTCCCATGCACCTCCTGCTCCAGCCAGGGTGCTTAGTTCCCCTTTGTACCACCCCTTTCCATTAAGGCATTGCTTCCCCAGAAAGGGGACCTCTTAAGATGCAAACTGTATTTTGAAAAAAAATTTATTTATTCACAAGGGCTTGATTTTGAAAACTCAGAGCACTGTCCTTAAGGAAATTGTGTGAAGAATGTTATTTTTTAATGAGTAGAGGAAAAGAGAGATTTCCTCTACTCATTTTTAATAAGTAGAGGAAAAGAAAGATACAGATTATGAAAATTTCATGGATAGATATGGCAGACAGAGAATGAGCACCTACTACTCTTCTGAAAGACAAGACTTAAGAGGACTGAGGAGAAACAAAGGAAAATAAGCCAGGTTGAAAGAAGCAGTGCAATTTTTGCTAAGTCAGCCAAAATTTGTCTACATTGCATTATTGTATGGGGTTATATATTTCAGAGATATAAAACTTAGAAAAATCATGATAAATTAGTATAATTACTCAAACTGTTAAGTATATTAATATTAAACTTTTAAGTGAGTTATGCTACTTAAAAGCTGTGCTATCAAGCAAGTCACTTGACTTTTCTGAGCCTCAGTGTACTGTATGTGAAAATAAGGATAAAACCTTTCATCTCTAGCTCACAGGACTGTTGTGAAGACCAAGTGAAATAATGGATGTCAAATTTATTTTAAAACGTTAATTACACAAGTTTAAGGACTTATTTTTCAGAAAGGTAAAAATAAATTGGAAACTAAGTTTTGTGAGTATACTGTTAATAAAAGTTTTAAAAATAAAGCCATGTTTGTACAAACATTAAGCCATTCAACCATGCTTGACTATCTACTATCAAAAGAGTTATTTGTAGATTTTTCGTTGCTACTTACTCATCATATCTTAATAACCAATAGCAGAAGTGAGTCAAAAAGAGAAGGAATCTCTAAAGTTTGAGATATATTTACTACAGGATGTAACAATTCAACTACAAGACTACTATAAGCTCCTTTAATGACAATGAATACTGATATCAATGTATTGAATATTTCAGTCTTGCTCATATCGTCATAGTTGGTGATATACTTTATAAGGAGGCCTTTGATTCACAAAACCTTATAAACTTCTGAGTCAAAATAAGCTATGTTGAAATAAAATAGTAAGTAAATAAGAAAACTCCCAAGAAGAAATTTAATATTCATGTTGTTTCTTGTCAATTTTTAAAACTAAAAGATTTATAGCAAGGATGAAAATTGAAAATAATCAATACTGACCAACTGCCAGAAAATGAACAAGAAGACCAATAGTTACTCCCAAGATTGCTGCCACTCCAAGAAAAATAAGGATTGTAGTCCATAGTGGCCAAGATCTTTGGGAAGGTATGCTATGCCTATGAAAGAGAAAAACATGGTTCAAATCAGATAATAACAAAATAAATCTACCTGCTTCTCTTTCAATTCATGCTACATGAATTATAATCAATACATTAGTTCTTTATGCTAGTTGAAAACACAGAAATCTCAAATGCTTCAAAGAGGACAGACTCTAAGGCTCATTCACTTAACAAATTATTGAGCCCAGGTTAGCTGCTGGAAATATATCAGTGAGCAAAATAGACGTGATTTCTGTCCTCGCATTGCTGAAGAAAAATTTACTTGTTTTTATTTTTTAAATTAAAGCAGATTACAAAACATTAGTTGTAGTCTGATTGTATTTTTGTAAACTGTAGCCATATCATGCACATGCACATACAAAGACTTATAGACACAATTAAATACATAATATAACAAGTTTCAATTAAAAGTTTGATAAATGTGGTCTCACTCTCACCCAGGCTGGAGTACAGTAGTACATTCTCAGCTCACTGCAACCTCTGCCCCCTGGGCTCAAGTGAGCCTCCCACCTCAGCCTCCTGAGTATCTGGGACCACAGGCATGTACTACCATACCTAGCTATTTTTTTCTATTTTTTAAATAGAGTCAGGGGTCTCACCATGCTGCCCTGGCTGGTCAATAACTCCTGAGCTCAGGCAATCTGCCCACCTTGGCCTTGAAAAGTACTGGGATTACAAGTGTGAGCCACAGCCCCGAGCCTATTTTCAAGAATGTTTCTACAACAAATGTATATTATTTGCATAATATAAATTAATAAATAAGTTAGTTTTATTATCAAAGTCAATCAATTAGATGAAAGAAAATTAGAAAATAGGGTGGTTCAGCATCTACAGATAAGCAGTTTATAGTTACAGTTACATTATATGGCCACACTAAGCTTAAACCCTTGTTTGGACCCTTGTTATTTTGAGAGATGAAGTTATATAATTGTCCATTGGAGGAAATGCTGTAACATAAACAATCATGTTTTCAAATTCAAAACATCCTCAGCTGTTTCCTCAATCTCTCTAGTCTGTAACGTTCTAAATAAACCTTCCAAAACAGAAGCGCTTGTAATAAGGGAACATATTTGGTGAATTACATATTCCCTATTAATATGTGAACCTTTTTGTTCTCATCCCATCCAGAACCAATTGACTTTTAGGCAGAAAAGTTTTTGTTTTTGTTTTTAGCATTACCTTATACAACTGTGCAACTCCACCCAATCTTGTTTCCTCTTCAGTCTATTTTGCATTCTTAATCCTACCACTTCCTTATACCTCTTTGTCTCTCTTGATGACTTGTTAATTAGTGTTTCCCAGAACCAACATTATTTGTGAAAGCTCTTCAAAGAAACTCCTTATTTCAGACATATTCCATGTATGTTTTCATACCAGAATTCTGTTGTTTAATATCAGCCTCAGAGAAAAAAGCCTATTCAGGCATGGAGTTTTTAATACAGTATTTATAACTTTATTAACACTTGATAACATTATTCTTTTAATGACTGTAAAAGTTCACTGTGGCAGTAAGGTCTCAAATTTGATTTGGATTAGCTAGTTATAACAGTCTGGTAGCTTAATCTTTTTGAGACATGCATATTAGTCTAAGAGACTAAACATTATGTAGACTACATAATTATTCTAAGTTCTGAGATGGTTTCAAAATAATCCCTGCTTTATAGCTTAAAAGAGTTTTTTCTCTAAAAGCCCCTTTTGGATGCTCTGAAGATTTCTGAAAAATACATATTATTAACTACGGCTCTGATATGACATTTTCTCCTTCACATGGCTTTCTCTTGTCAAAAATAATTTAAAATATTATTTTATAACTAAAAGATTACAGAAACTTTGTGATTAATGCAACCCTTCCTCTAAATGTGATTCATAGTCTCTAGGAATTTATTACTATTTTTGAATAATAGCTGCACTTGTTAAAATTATGTTCTAAATATCAAAAAAAAAAAAAGTCCATTCATGAAACAGTTTACTCTCATTTACCAAATTAATTTTTGGCAACAGTTTTTTCCAAAGGTAGGCTTTTGCATTACAAAATGAATCCTTCATTTAGCAAAGAAAATAGGTTAAAAATTAATCTTTAAGGAATTTAACCAACTTCATGTGCTTAACTACACTATAATTGCCTCACTTTTAGAATGAATCTACTTCAAATAAGAGCTCATTGCTGGCTGCATGGAGTGGCTCACGCCTGTAATCCCAGCACTTTGGGAGGCTGAGGTAGGCAGATCACTTGAGGTCAGGGGTTTGAGATCAGTCTAATCAACATGGTGAAACCCCATCTCTACCAAAAACCACAAAAATTAGCCGGGTGTGGTGGCAAGCACCTGTAGTCCCAGCTACTTGGGAGGCTGAGGCATAAGAATCACTTGAACCTGATTGCTTCTCAGGGCAAAAAAAATAAATTGCCATTCCACCATAACCATTTGCCTTAATCAACTTGCAATAATGATGTTAATCAAAATGATGGTAAGTACATTACTTATGATTTTAAAAGTCTCATTATAAGTCTTTCCTTACAGTCTATGCCAAGTATCACTTTCTAGGTTAGATTTCCTTTTAGCCTCTTTTGGGTATTGCTTTAGGAGTTAAACAGCAAAGCATTAAAAAATATATAGTTTTTATTTATTAGAACTATATTTATAAACCATTTGAATTATATGCACCTGAATTCTCTCACATAAGGAAAAGCGTTAAAGCATGATTCTGGTGCAAAATTCTCCAAATTTTAGAGAAATGAAACTTTAGAAAACTTTAAATCGTTAGGATGAAAATTTTGCATAAGGAGCAAAGAAGTGTAATAATCAAATGGGTAATGGCCTCTGTCCTCAGTTTCTCCTGGAACTTTGGAAAAAAGAAAGTCTACGGAAAGGAACTCATTTGAAAATTTAGGAAGTTTTGAGAAGAACCTGCAGTTTGCCGGTTGCTAATTCAGAATCTATAATGTAAAGTACATTATTCCAAAATCTATAATGACATTCATAGTTTTCTTATTCCCAAGGAAACCTTTTAATATTATAAAATTTGTTTTCAATTACATTAATAGAGAATGAAAATGGTAGTGTTCTTATGAGTGATTATAAAAGAAATATTATGCCTCATTTCCTCAAGATTTCAGGTCAATTATATATTTATATTTTTTCTCAGTAAGCAAAATTTTGCTGAACTATTAATTTTTTTTAACTTTTGGAAACTTTCCCAGAGACTTCAAAGGTCCTTTAGACCTCAACAAGTGTTTCTTGACAGTGTCCAGAAATAAAAACTAAATTATAAAAAGCAATCAATTAACAAAAAACTAGAACATAGTTAATGGCAAGTTGCTAAATTTTTCAGACTTACTGTCCCCAATGAAATCCCCTTTACCTGTACATAATGTTCTAATTGTTGTGGCAGTATCAGGTATAATGGTGGCAGTGATGATGGTGAAGGTAATGATAATGATGATGATGCTGGTAATAGTGATGATAAAAGTTAGAACCTTCTGATGTAGCTTTTGACTTCTGTGCTGTATCCAGTGTTGGTTGCTTGGTTTTTATGGGCTGGGTGAGATGTAGGGAACAACTAAGATGAAACTTGTCTGACGAGTGTTAATGACTGTCACATTTCTATAGTTTCAAAGTTTCTAGATAGGAGTCATCCCAAGAATGACAAATTTCCTTGACTTGATGATATAGAAAAAACTAATAGCCGAGTTTGGTCACCTAAAAAGTACACCCAAGAAACAGCTTTGTGGCATACAGGAATAATCCTAACTCTGTATTTTACCAATTCCATTATACTGGCTTGGCCCTTCTTAATTGAAACAAACTATAACTAGTTAAAAGTTTCTGACAAATGTCTTTTTACAATATGTCAATTTTAATATGAAAAATGTTGCCATCATTCTCATGCAAATAAAATTCTATTTCATTGTGGTTTGCATTTGCTTTTCCCTAATTGCCTATGAGAATAATCATTTCACATATTTTGAGGGAATTTGGATTTTCTCTTTTGAGAATTCTAAGTTTAGCTTTTCTTCAACAGGCAGCAGATGGTAAGGAAAAAAAAAATGTAGCATTTTTTTTTCTAATGAATTGCGAATCTTTTCTTCTAATAGATATATATGGGTTCCTTATATGTTCTGGATATTAATGTATTATTATACTGGATATTAACCAGTTATGTTCACCTATTTATTAATCACCTGTTCTTAGGGTGCAGCTTGACGTTGCCTTGTGTAAGAAGATTTTTTTCATCCACAGGGGATTTTCTTATTCTTAGCAGTTTAGTTGATCATATTTTTCCTTTACATTTTGTGCTATGAGCCATAAAATGTTAAAAAAAAACTTTTATCACCTTGATTTCTTTGATATTTTCCTTTCTTTTCATCTAAAATTTAAAGTTTTACTTTTTATGTTCAGGCCTTACAAAAATTCAAGAATTTACTTTTGTAATGGCATGAAATGATAATTTAATTTTATGTTGTCTTAATTTTAAATTATTTTTTACTAATAGCCTGTTTTCCAAGGCCTTTTCATTGCACAGTTCATCGTTTCTCTACTGATGTGTAATACCTCCTATGTCATATATGAAACAATCTGCATGTTTCTTAGCTCTCTATTCTATTACATTGGTGTATTAGTCTTTCCTTCTCTCAATATTAAATAGTTTTAATTCCCATAGATCAGGAGTTCCCATGCATTTTCTGTAAAGCACCAGATAGTAAACATTTTAGGCTTTGTAGGCCATACGGTCTCCATTGCAACTATTAAATTTTACTGTTGCAGCACAAAAATAGCCAAAAATGCGAAGTAAAAAAATATATGTGGGCACGGCTGTTTTCTAGTATTTACTTATAAAAGCAGGTGGCGAGCCAGATTTGGTCCCTTGCCTGTGGTTTTCCAACCCCTACTGCAGATTACAATAGGTCATGATTTTTGAGAGCATATGTTTTCTCAATCTTTTCTCCAGATTTATATTAGTAATTCTTAACCTTCTATTCTGTCATGTGCTTAGAGGATCAGCTAGCTTATTAAGTCCCATTTTTAAGTTCCAAGAAGATATTTTGAGATTTCGATAGAAATTCTCTTTATCTCACAGAATAGTTTGGAAAGATTCAACATCTTATATCGTTAACTGTTCATCAGCATGATATATCTTTCTATTTATTCATTAATTTTGTTTTGTCATTTTAATCATAAAGTGATATAAGGCACATTTTTTTTTACATTTATTTCTCTGAAGTTGTTCTCGCAGTCATGGATAATATTTTTTCCTGTTAAATTTTCTAATTATTTATTGCTAGTGTGTAGAAATGTTACTGACTGGTATTAGTAGGTAGCATGCCCAGCAAGTTGTGTTTAGTTTGTACTAAAATTAACAGTTGTCTTTAGATACTTTGAATTTTCTACATAGATGATTATGTTGTCTATAAATATTAAGATTTCCAAATTTCAGTCAGCACAGTTCCTTCCTTTCTTGGATTGACTTTCCTTCAGTTTCTGATTTTTTTTTTTTTGTCATTCTCCACTGCCTTCATATGGTTAATTTTTACATATTTTTGGAAGTTTATAATTATCAACTCTAGAAGATTTCAATATCAGGTAGTTTGCCATTACTAGAATGCTTTAACAATAACTTTTAAAGACTATAATTTCTTAATTTTAATTTAAAATTTATCAATCGTTGCTTTTAAGTTTAGGGTTTTATGTATACCTGTGTGTGGTCTAAGAATTCTTTCTTTTCACAAAGACATTCTCCCATGTTTTGTTCTAGAAACTTTAATGAGTTATCATTTGGACTTAAATTAATAATTCATGTAGAATTTATTTTTGTGTACAAGATGAAGTAGGAATAAAGATGTGTTTATTTTTTATTGGATTTTAATTTTGCCATTATTGTGCCATATCACACTGCTTTAATTATTGAAGTTATAAAAGGTCTTGATAACTGGTAATGTAAGTCCATATTTATTTTTCTTGTTCATTGTTGTCTTGGCTATTTTCAGTCCATTGCATTTACTTCTAAATCTTAACACTGTCTAATCAATTTCTAAAGAGAAATCTCTGGAATTTTGTTGATATTGCATTGAATGTACAGATAAATTGGAGGATAATTGACTTCTTAAAATAGTAAAGCTTCCAATCCATGAACTTGGTGTATATTCCTCCATTTAAATTTTCTTTAATTTTTCTCAATATCTGGATAGAAGTCATACATGTTTCCCTAGATTTAATCTATGTGTTTAATTTTTTCTGTATCATAATACATGGCATCATTCTTTAAATTTTGTGTTACATTTGTTGCCAGCATATTGAGATACAATTGATTTCTGTATAACAAGAGAACTGATTAGTTTAGTGATATTAATTTTTTGTTTGAACATTCTTTCAGATTTTTATTATACATCATCTTGTCATCTGCATAAAAACAGTGTTACTTCTTTTCTATTGCTTACATTTTTTATTTTGTTTTGAATTTGATTACATGATTTTTTTTTCTTTTTTTTTTTTCTTTTTTTTATTGCATTTTAGGTTTTGGGGTACATGTGAAGAACATGCAAGATGGTTGCATAGGTACACACATGGCAGTGTGGTTTGCTGCCTTCCGTCCCCTCACCTGTATCTGTCATTTCTCCCCATGCTATCTCTTCCCACCCCCCATCCCTCCCCCGTTTCCCCCCAACGGACCCCAGTGTGTAGTGCTCCCCTCCCTGTGTCCATGTGTTCTCATTGTTCAACACCCGCCTATGAGTGAGAATATATGCTGTTTGATTTTCTGCTCTTGTGTCAGTTTGCTGAGAATGATGGTTTCCAGGTTCATCCATGTCCCTACAAAGGACGTGACCTCATTGTTTTTGATGGCTGCGTAATATTCCATGGTGTATATGTACCACATTTTCCCTATCCATTTTCTTTTCTTTTTTTTTGCTATGGCATAGAACTCCAGTACACTATTTAATGGAATGGTGTTAGCATGCATTCTTTGCTTTTTTCCTAATTTCGGAGAAAGGCTTTTAGTATTTAACCACTAAGTAGGATGTTTGCTGTCAGTTTATCAAATTAAAGAAATTCTCTTGTTTTTTGTTTGATTAGTTTTTATAATAGAATTTGAATTTGACCAAATCCTTTTGTCTCTGTTTATTGAGATAATCATGTCTACTTTTATCTTATGATTGTTGTGATCTACATTGATTCATATTTAAGTGTTAAATCGACCTTACATTTCTGGAATAACCTCAACTTAAATGCAATTTATGACACATTTTATTTATCATTGGGTTTCATATGCTAATATTTTAAGATTTTTTTGATACGTACTTCTGAGAGAGAATGACACAATTTTTTTTCTGTCTTTTATTGTCATTGTTAAGTTTCACAACTGAGATTATGTTAGCCTTATAAAACAAGCTGGAAAGTAACTATTTTATTGTAAATTATTTGAAAATTTACATGTATTTGTAAGGCAAGTTGCCAAAATTAATATAGTACCACAATAAGGAGAGCTACTTGCCCTTCATGGATACCACATTTTGGACTTTGCATAAACCTGAAATAAACTTTTCTTTTACCAGCTCATTAAGATTTGAGAATTTATCTATTGAAGCAGATAATACAAATATCTATAACTAATTAAGATGCTATTTGATGTTTATAGTCGGTTAACTTTCTAAAGTTAAGGAAAACTTAAATATTTGAAACTGATATGTAAAGTGTTTGTATTAAATTTCAATCATTTCACATGCATCCATTCTTCCTTTTTATTTGCTCTGCTATCAGAAATAGCCACTGTGGACCGATAAGGTTCTCTAATTTTCCATGGGCGAGCAGTGTTGCTGCTGAAACAGGATAATTCTTTCTTCCATCTTGAACAAAGTCTAAAATGTCAGTGTTTATGCCACTTTCTCCCCTTAGCTTCATAGCCACAAAATATTTGTCAGTTATAAAGGAAAAGCACATCCATCATGTTATGCTTATGGTCTCGTTGAATCATCATTCTTCAAATGAGTGAGTTAGAGAATATATAATTGTTCCAAGAACACTCCCACAGACTGCATGTCTCTGTTTCAATTCAACCTGAAGTTTCAGTGTCAGCTTGGGTACGAATTAATCCAATGCTGTGTAGCAACTGGGATTGTCCACCTCATGACAGTATTTCCTCTTCCTGGGTTTCTATGTCTTTGAAAGCTTTACTATGTCATTCACATCTAGGTATACTTCAAAATTATTCAAACCAACCCTAAGATTTACAACTGAATCTTCTATAGTAACACTGGTCCACATATATTTTATTATTTTCTGAGATCAAATTGCATATATCTCATAATTACTAATTATTACATATTCTTCTACTTGTGTCATACTTGTTTACCCAAATAGATTGTAAGTTCCTGGAGTGTAGGGTTTATGTTTTATACTAGTTTCCATACCTTAACATGTTCTTAATAAGCACTAACAGGTTAATTATTCAATCCTCACTACATGGAAGGGAAAGAAAGACCTTCTCTCCCTGTTTATTTCTACATAGTATTTGGTTCTTATTAGCACTATTTTCTT